GGAGATGCTTGCTCAGTGAGCAATAACCATCACTGATTTTCAACCTCCATAGCCCTTAATCACTTTTAATGTCATTCCAGGTCAAGCCCTCAACATGACCTCTTACTGATAACATTTGCAGTGGATTTTGTATGTCTACAGGCCATGATGAGCAAAACAACACGAGATTAAATCAAGCAAAAGAGAACAGGATGGAATCAAGAGACATGGTAAATGCGAGAGTTATGAGGCTGCTGTCAGCAGAACACAACATATTGTTTTACAGTAAAATTTTTTCTTATAAGTGGAAAGAGTACACTCTAAAATGATGATTTAAAATATAGTATAGCAAATACATAAGTCAGTAACATAGTCATTTATTATCATTATAAAATTATGTACTGTACATAATTGTATGTAATATGCTTTTATACAATTGGCAGCACAGTAGGTTTGTTTACACCAGCATCACCACAAACATGAGGAATGTGTTGTTGTATGATGTTACAAAGGCTACGATGTCACTAGATGATAGGAATTTTTCAGCTCCATTATAAATTATCGGACCATCATTGTATATGTGGTCTGTCATTGAGCAAAATATTGATATGTGACAGAAGCTTGTTTTTAAAAATATGGTATCGTGTACCTCAAAATGTGTTAAGAGAGTAGAACTCATATTTGGTGTTCTTACCACCAAAAATGGAGACAGAATTAGGGAAATGGATATGTCTATTACATTGATTACGGTGACGATATCATGGGTGTTTGCATAAGTCCCAATTCATCAAATTGTACACATAAAATGTATACAATTCTTTGCATGTCACTTATACCTCAATAAATCCATTTTGAAAAATTCTGGAAAACAATTCTCCAGATCCTGAAGGTACCTACTGACTGATGAATTTTACCAAGAATTTAAAGAAGAAATAACATCAATTCAACACAATTTCTTACAGAAAATAGAACAGGGAACATTTCCCAATTAATTCTACAAGGGCAGCATTATCCTGATACCACAATTAAATGGGGGGGAAAAACAGCATAAAAAAAAGCTACAGATCATTATCCTTCAAGAACATATATGCAAAAATCCTCAATAAAATATTAGCAAGTTGAATCCAGTAATGTATAAAAATATTGCACCTCAATCAAGTCGGGTTTATTCTATGAATGCAAGGCTAGTTCAAAATCAATTAATGCAATTCACCATACTAAAATCCTGAAGAAGAAAAATCACTTAATTATATAAATAAAGGCAGAAAACTCTTGACAAAATATGACATCTATTTATGATAAAACTCTCAGCAAACTAGGAATAAAACTGAACTACTTCAAGCTGCTAAAATGCATCTACAAAAAACCTACAGCTAAGATAATACTTAATGATGAAAAACTAAATGATCTGCCCCTAACTCAGGAACAAAGCAAAGATGTCTATTCACACCATTCCCGTTCAACATTATACTGAAACTCTTTTAGCTCTGCGGATCTACCTAGCATAAAGCATGTGGTACGGCTTTGGAACAGCAGCGCCAAAAGGACACTGCACACTATGACAAACTGGGGGAGCAAAAGGTAGTCCCCATAGAAATTCTCCAGGAGCTGAGAACCTACAGATAGCCTGCAAGAGAGAGGCGTCTGAAAGCTTAAGAGCTCCATCATGAAGGGGTGAACCAGGAATTCCAGAGCCGAAGTCAGACTGAGAAAGGAAACATGGCACATTCCCGAGAAGAACAATTTCTACCAAGTTCTAATGCCCTGATATTTACCTATGGCGCAGCATTCTCTAACACTATTAGCCAGAAGCCACATACCTAGTCCATGTCTTGAAGGGCACAGTACTTGCCCAAGTTTTCACTAAGAACAATTTTTATTTTTATTATTTCTTACATATGGACCTCAGGTTTTGGATGAATTTTTTCCTACCAAACTGATTTGTAAAGTCAAAATTCATTTTCTCTTTTCAAAAGTTGTTCAAAGACTGTGAAGACTTTCTGATCAGCTCGAGTAACCAATGCTAAGAGTTAATGTTATAAATCCTGCCAAATGTGTGTGTGGATAGAGAGACAGGCAGAGAGACAAACAAACAGACACAGGTTACCCTGAGCAGCTCTTTCTGCAGATAAAATACACTTTCTAGGGGCTGGCCCCGTGGCCGAGTGGTTGGGTCCACGCGCTCCGCTGCAGGCGGCCCAGTGTTTCGTTGGTTCGAATCCTGGGCGTGGACATGGCACTGCTCATCAAACCACGCTGAGGCAGCATCCCACACGCCACAGCTAGAAGGGCCCACAACGAAGAATATACAACTATGTACTGGTGTGCTTTGGGGAGAAAAAAGGAAAAAAAAATCTTAAAAAAAAATACACTTTCTATTACAGTTTTTGATATATTTCAACTTGTGTTTGTACAACTATTACTATCTCTCTGGAAAGCATTAATTTACTGAATATTACATATACACACAAAATATTGCGTTTAAAATAGCTAGGTGACACTGAAAACTGAACATAACTCTTTTTTGACAAGTATAACTGTATATACTTAAATTATACAATGCAGTGACTTGATATATACATTGTAGAATGGTTACAAGATCAAGATAATTAACACATCCATCACCTCACATAGTTAACATAGTCAACTGTTTGTGTATGTGTGTGTGAGAACGCTTATGAGCTACTCTCAGCAAGTTTCAAGAACACTTCATAGCAGGAATGTAAGGTGGACAAGCCTTTAGGAACTTACAAATCCATCTGATTTGTCTTTTTTCCTAGGGAAGGTTTTCCTTAGAACTGCTCTAGGATTATGAGAGAAAGGAAGAAGGTAGTTCTGCCTGCCTCACTCTTACTACCTAGAAGGGACACATGCCTTTTGAGAAGCATTTCCAGATAATGAGGCATCGCTTCTCCTCCCTGCCACTCCTCTGGTGTCACCTGGAAGGCCCATGTAAAAGTAAAGTGGGATGCCTTTGGGGAGCAAACTAGAAGAGTGAGTAAACCATCACAGCCATACTATGATTGCATATCAGAATGTCCATATAAAAGAGTGAAACAAAATTGAAGCTCATTTCCCTCTCATGTAAATATAGTAGGTCTGGAGCTGGAGTGGTGGCTCCATGACGTCAGGGCTAAGGCTCCTTCTCTCCCATCCTATTGCTCTACCATCTTCAACTTGAGGATTCCACCAGGTCATCCAAGAGGGCTGCAGCCATCATGTCTGCACTCAAACTGTCAGGGAAACCACAAACCAAGAGAGTAAGGAGGGCATACTACCCCTTTAAGACTTTTCCTGGAAGAAGCACATACAGTTTCCACTTATATCCCACTGGCCAGAATTTAGTCTTATGGCCAACTCAGCTACAACAGGAGCTGGAAATGCAGTCTTTACACCAAGCACCCACATACTCTGCTGAAATGTGAGGGTTCTATTACTATAGGCGAAGAGAAAACTAAATATTGTGGAATAACTAGCAGCCCAATCCTAAAGATTCTCTTTCCCTTCCTCTCAGGGAACAATGTCACAGAACTTATTAAGAAACATGCACTGTTCTAAGTTTTTTCAGGTCGATTAAATCATTTAATCCTCAAAATAGCACTATAAATAAGGTTCTATTATCCACATTTCACAGATGAGGAAATCAAAGCACAGAGAAGTGAAGTAACTTGCCCAAGTTTACACAGCTAGGAAACGGCAGAGCTGGCATTTGAACCAGACAGTCTGGTTTATCCACTATGCTATACTGCTCTCTGTCTACTCTACTTCAGAATATTTTCAGTCCTCTATGTGAGGCAATGGAAAAGGCTTTATCTACATAAGGGAGATATTGTGTTTTTATTCAGAAAGCAAATGAGCAGAAGGTATAAGGAAAATACATCTACTGATAATTCCAGGGAGTCACTTATACTTCTTTTTTTAACACCAACATGAGTATAATGAGTGAGACAAAGCTTGATATCTGAACACAGGATTCAAATGCCCAGCATTTGGTCATTCCAACATTTAATGAACAAGCATATAAACTAATAACAATGTGGAATAAAATGAAATTCCAACCAAGCAAGGGCTCACTACCAGACACATATAGAAGCCAACACCATGAGGCTAACTTTTGAGAAAACAAAGAGCTTTATTGCGAGGTCAACCAGCAAGGAGCTAGGAGGCAAAGCCTCAAATCTTCCTCTCCAATCCAAGGTTCAGGGTGAAATTTAAGGAGTTAGGGGCTACTAAGCTGCAGCTGGGGCCATGTAAGCTGATTGGCTAGTCTCGGATTAGTCCATAATCAGGCTGCTTGGGCTGCTGGAAGCCAGATTTTCCTTACTGAAGGCCATCTCGCTTCATCAAGTGCTCAGGTGGCAACATTTCTGAAGATTCTTGGTTCCAGGGTCATCCTGCGCTATGGGTTCACACCTGATACATGCGTAGTGCTATCCCTGTTATTGAGCAAGGTTAGATTCTTCAAAAAATTGTTTTAAGGAAGCAAAACTAGTTTAAGTTGGTCAATGTTTTATGTGCTGTTTCAAAAACAAAAAGACACCTGAGAACAAGATGGACTCTGTGTGGTGAACAGGGACCTCAAACCAAAATGGAGTCAAACAGCCATGATGGGACTGGATGAAGTCAGGTACCCTGTTCTCAGAAAAAACACAGAATGCACTCTTAAGCTAGTCTCCGCTGAAGTTCCTGAATTTACAAAGTGCAGAACAGCCATGTGGACCTAACCAATGAAACTGTGACCTGTGCCAACCAATCAGGATTAAGCAGGCTTGCATCCCTGATTTGTATCAGTGGATCTGGCTTGAATCCCTCATTTGCATAAATAGATGTGAGTGGAAACTGGTAACCTGGGCGGGAACTTTTTCCATAAAGGCAGTCCCCTTTCCTTTGTTCTCCCGGAGCATACTTGCGATTTGCTACTGAGATCACGTCTCTCCAGTTTGCAAACTGTATGAGTAATAAAACTTTCCTAACTAAATTCTTGTATGGCAGAGATTGTTATTGACAGCGACAACAAGAGATGGGAAATCAAACACATTTACATTTTCTCTCTACAAGCCCCACTAAAACAGCAGTAAGGCGATTCTTGTGAGCCATAAACCCACGAGAACAAAAACAAGGGGAAGGACAGTGGTAACTAAATGGTCGAAGTTATAAAGCAGATGGGCAGGGAATAGCTGACGGTAGACTCAAACACGCTGAATCCTAGACAGGCATGAAGAAAGCCAAAAAAGCAACCAGATGTTGTCCCCCACACACAACTCTCCAAAAGCTCAGGACTAAAAACCGGAGGACCATTTAAAGGCCTGTCTAAGAAACCACTACATCCCAAGACTACCACCCTGGTCTGCACATCCCCACCAATTTGTCGCCCCTCACCTCAGCAACAGATTAGCAGTTTGTACTCTGAAGAGGGCAAGCAGAGAGTCTGACTTAGGAGAAATCAGGCATAGTTGATGGTGGAGTGCTGAAACAGAGGAAATGAGTGACTGTCGGCATAACGGATGTGGACCTCCTAAGCCCTCTTTCTCTCCTCTGCCACCACCCTAGTCTCAGGGAACATCATCTCTCACTCTAAAAACCTCCTAACAGATCTTCCTGCTTCTACACTTGCCTACCCACAAGTCCCTTCTCCAAGCGGCTAGAGGATCTTTAAAAAAATGTAATTAAGATTACACTATTCCTCTGCTTAAGATTTTTAAGTGGCTGCTTCAGAATAAAATCATACCCCTTTCTGAGGTCTTCAAGGCTCTGCATGATCTGGCATCTGCCTTTCTCTCCACCCTAAGCTGGAAGCACTTTGCCCTGAATCACTATTAGACACACTGGCGTCTCTCTCACTCCTTGAACTTGCCAAGTTTGTTCCCACGTTGGGACCTTTTCAACAGATGTCTTCCTTTCTAGAATCACTTTTTGCAAGGTAGCCTCTTCATCATTCACTTCTAGGTTCAAGTGTCACCTCCTCAAAAAAAGCCTTTCCTGACCATTCCATTTAAACTATCTGCTGTGTCCACCCCTCATTGCTTCTTCATAACACTGATGACCCTCTGAAGCCATTGTATATATTTATCCACCTGTTGTCTGTTTCTCCCTATGTAAGGTTTAAGACTAACACTTTTTCTGACTCATTTTCCTGAGTAGCCTCAGCACCTATGTCCTGCATTCATATTTGTTAAATGTGAGAGAAATAAAAGAAGCACCTGGCATTGGAAACTGATCTGACACTTACCCTTAAGGCTTCAGTGTGGTTAAGAACTAGACATGGAGTTCCCCAGTAAAACATAACAATCCGACAGAATACCGCCATCAAAGTCGCTGTGTGATCATGAAGTGAGACAACAGGCGAGATCACTTAATAATCTTCTCCAGATAAAAACAAGATCACTATGCAAACTACAAAAATACCAAACTTTCTCCTCTCCCAACAAGTAAAACTGGTGCTTTTTTTTTACCAAACACAGATACAGCCTTGCAATTTCCTTCCCTTCTCCTACATAAGATGTATTAAGATACCCAATCTTATAATTACCTCCACTTCCTGACAGCACCCAAAACAGAACGAATCTCCATTTCCTTGAACCCTCCCCTCAAATCATCTAATACAAGCCCAGATCGTATAAGAAGAGATTTCTAACGCTGTTATTGAAAATGACCCATGGTTCCCCAAAGTGTGTTCTCCCTGTTTGCAATGAGTGATAAACCCAACTTTCTGACTACGGGTGTGTTCCTGGTGGGCTTTGGCCAGGAGAATACTGACAAATGAATGCCACTCGAAATAGCTCATAATCTAGGGGCAGATTCTCTATCGTGCGCAATAATTTCTCCATTCACTTAACCTCTTCCGAACCTCCTTGTGCTTAGTTGAAGAGTATATTCCCTCAACCAAAGGTTATCTTTGTTCTTTGTTCTAAACCAGACTAACAATGCTACTGCCATTCCCACTCCATCTATCCTCTCATCTTCTTAAAACAGGAGAGGAAGAAAATCCATTTACGAAACTCGCTTCTTAACGCAAGCTATCCTTTCGGTAACCCCGCTCTCCCCAAAGGAATAATTCATGGTTTTCCTTTTTCTCTTAGCTGATTTTTATCCCTCAGTTTTAATGTCTCACTTGTTTCCCTCCTTCAGCTTCACATCCCGTTTTGTTTTCAGTTCTCTGATCAAACTCATTTAACGGTTCAGGCATATAAAGTTCCTCTGCTTTTTTTCTCACCCCCAACATAGGCGATAAATACAACTACAAACCCTTTTGCACACTCTCTGTGGCCTTGCCCTCTGTCCGGCACCTTCCAACATTCGAACTACAACCCCCCCTTTGCCTAAACTCTGTGGCCCCAAAGCTTGCCTTCTTCCAAACCAATCCTTGTCCTATAATCTACATCAACCCGATCAGTCACACACATTCAATTAGAGCCTTGAGCCTGAATTTCATACTCAATCCCCGGCCATAGCCGAAGCCACGCCCCGCCCCGCCCCCTGACCCAGGTCCGCCTGCATTCCGCCGCCCTAACCGGTTTAAGTGGCCAGCACCTCCACCAGCCCTGTCCAGTCCTGGATAGCGGACATTCTCATAGTCAATGGCGCCCCGAGGCCATATCCAAACATCCACCTTCATCCCGTCCCCTTACTTTCATCATCCTGGCACCTTTCCCCGCCTCCTGCCGCAACCCGCCCCCAGTTCCATCCAGTCCGCGATCCCGGCCGGCCCCGCAGCCAATCCGCGCTCTGAATCCAGACGCCAGGTCCATCCCCGCCCAGGCTCCGCCCCCTGGGCCGAATCCCGAGCGCCAAGCCCTCGGCCCACGCGGCCTCGTGAGCAGAGTGCCAGTTGCGGCGTAAGGGAGGTGAGTGGGCGCGCGGCTGGGCGCTCCGCTGCGGGGTGAGGGTTCCGGGCGGGCGAGCGGGCGGAGTCCGGGGAGCGCGGCCCCGAGGCAGCGAGGAGGGCAGGGGCCCCTGCTGGAGCGGCGCGCCGGGCGGGGCGGGAGCAGAGCCGGGGCCGCGTTTCCTTCAGGCCTCGGCCGAGGCCTGGGGCGGGGTCCCTGCCCCGAGCCCTGGCGGACGGCGGCGGCGGCTGCAGAGGGTCCGCGCGGGAATGACAGCGTGTCCTCTGGAGAGAGTGCCACCGAGGTGACTGGCCTTCTAGGGTCGGACCCCGGACCCCGGTCATCGTCTGCCCCTCGGCAGTTTTGGCATTTTGAAGACAGTGTGGGAAGGTAACGCCGTCCCCAGTTCATCCTTAACAGGATTTTTAATAAAAGAGGAAACAGAGGCTGTTAACTTGCCACGTAAGTGAAGCTTAGTGGAATCCGCAGTTTTTAGAGAAAAGAGAAGAGCAGTCCCATCTGCCTCTGGAGTCCGAGCAGCTGCAGGCTCGTGCAGTCGTCTCTCCGGCTCGCGGCCCCGGGGCTGCGCGAGGAGACTTGGGGCAGCCGGCTCCGCTCTCGCCAGGCTGCAGACCAGCCGTCAGAAGGCTTCGCTCACGGTGCGCAGGACCTGAGCCCTGCAGGCCTCCGCCCCTCGGCCGCCCTGCCTCCCTCCGGAGAAAGCCCCTCCCACCTCCTCCCCGTATGCGCAGTGGTTATAAGTTGATCCTGTGGCTTAAGTCCAGTGTTCAAACTTTTACATCTCGCTTTGCTTTGCTTACCTTTTACTCTGAATCTGCCTGCAACAGTTCGTCAGTCTTCTCAATATCTGGTCGCTCCAAATATGCCACGTATCCTTTAAACAGTCTACTCCAATGATTATAAATAGGCAGTTTATTGTTCTACTGATCATGCATATCTGAATATGGAGTTTATCTTATGTATAATATGCCATAATCAGGTTTACTAGGTCACCCTGATTCACAGTTGCCTGATTTTCTTCGCAGAACATTGTTTTTATGGAGAAACTAGAAAACTATAGTGAAGATATTATTTAGAATTAAAAACCATTTACCTTTTGATTTTCTTCCAACTTTTCAGTGGCATCCAGATTTTTTTTTTTATTTAGCTTATTGGTGAATATACATTTGGGACGTTAATTGCGTTAGGAAAGTCCTGCTCAAAAAATTGTTTAAAGTACAGAAGAAAAATAGCTGCAGAGGTTCTGAATCTGTATCTAGCAGCCTGCTTAGATTTCTCTGAAGCTGTTTTTTCACTGATGCCCCCACAATGCCTTCCATGATGAGATTACCTAGTGAGACAGTAATGAGGGAGAAGGAAAGAGAGCCCAGATCTGGGTGCTGAGGAGTACCCTCGTTTCATGGTAGGTTGGGGGAGAAGGAAGAGGAAAATGTGGGATTGTAGGATGTTTCTACATACTGTTTCTACGGGCTGTTTCTGGGATGAGACACAGCTTGTCCAGCGGTATCTAAAGCTGCAGATTGCTCCAGGAAAGTGAGAATTGTGAAATGTCTCCTGGATTTAACAATACAGAGGTCAAAATCGACTTGAGAAAGAGCTGCCTCTGTGGAGTAATGAGTATAAAAGTCAGATTGTACTAGGTTGAGTATAGATTGAGGACAAGGAGACAGCTAATAAAATGATACCTTTTTCCTTTTCGTTTTTTGCTGAGGAAGATTCACCCTGAGCTAACATCTGTTGCCAGTCTTCCTGCTTTGTTTTTTTAATTTCAGGTGCCACCACAGCATGGCCACTGACAGATGAGTCATGTAGATCTGTGCCCGGGAACCGAACCCAGCCCGCCTAAGCGGAGTGTGCCAAACTTAACCACTAGGCTACTGGGGTGGTCCATAAATTGATATCTTTTTAAAAGTTTTGCTTTCGAAAGAAAGTAAGTAACAAGGAAAGTTTTGATTTGAAGAGATGAGCAACAGGGAGGAGAAGGTAGAGTCAAGAGTTTTATTTTTTATCTGTATTTTTTGTTTGTTTTTATTGTTTTTTCAACTGGCAGAGTCTTGAGCAAGGGAAGCTGACTGACTCTATAGGAGAAAAAGGTAACAGTCAGTGGAGCAGGGTCTCTGCAGAGGTGGGCGAGAATGAGCTGTGAGTGTGGGAGGGCGGACCATCCTTTTGTAGCAGGGTCACTTCCTTTCCTATAATAGGAAGGAAGATAAAAGGATTTTTTAGGTTTGGTGTTTACCTTGAGAGAGTTCCCATCTGATGCCTTCTGTTTTCTCTGTGAGAGGAAACAAGATCATCTGCTTTGACTAAAGAGGGTTTTAGGTTAGAGTGGTGCGGGGAAAAAAATTAAAATAATCATCCTGGACTATAAGAGAGAATATTGCCTGTCCTCTTAGGGTTTTCAACTGGGCCTGAGAATTAAAGTGACATAAGACAGGAGAAAAGCACACAAATTGATTATAAGTTCTATGTGACACAGAAGATTTCATAAGAAAATGAAGACCCAAAGAAGTGGCAAAACCAAATGCTTTTATACCAGCTTGAACCAAGAGAGACAATTGTGGAAAAGTACCTGAAATGTATGAGGAGGCTAAAGAGGATAAGAATTATTCTAACAAAGTCTGTTTATACAGCCTTCTCAGCCTCAACTCCCTGTCTAAGAATGTCTCTTTTCTCCTGGTACAGGGAGGGCATCTTTCACATGGGAATTTCATCTACTGTTTTCAGGAGAAAGGGGGAGATAAGGATTGCCCCTTTTGCCTCTGCTGCTTTAGCTCAAATTAATCATTAGGCCAAAGTGGCATATTTTGAGATGCATATTCTGCCATCCTTCACCTATAAAATATAGTAGAAATGCTGGAGAGTGTTGGGGGTCAGTTTGAGATTAATGCCCATGAACTTGTGGTGAAACCAGTCGTAGCCTGCGTGACTTTCTCCAGCAGTCCACAGCTTCTTGGACCGTAGGAGAAACAGACTTTAACTGAGTTCATCCAGGGTGAGGATTTTTAAAACAGATGAAAAGACAGACTTGGGGTGGGAGGGGTGGTTAGAGCATTGTCAAGAACCTTATTGGGATGGTAGAACTGGCATCTAAACTGGAAAATAAAAGATGAGGGCTGATTGGGAAAAGGAGAGGCAACCTCTTAGAGATCTTGGTGATATTGAAGAACAGCAATAGTTGGAATAATTACACAAATTGAAAGGACAGTAGTTTATGGTCAAAGAGCAGATTGCTTCAGTTAATTACTTTGGAATTAGACCAGATTGAGGTTATGGCAAAGTGCAGGGTGTGACGGTAGGAGAGAGTGACTAAGGTGAAATGGATTAGAAGCTCAGTGGACATGGGGATGTGTCAGTTGTTGGAAGGGTTATCTCTGAAGACATTGAAATTACCTGGGATGATCACAGTCCTTTGAGTTGAGGAGAAAGCTGTGTGCCTAATGACACAGTCCTTAATGAATGACCAGGCGTTATCACCAGGTCAAAAGAACATCAGTGAGGCAGAGGAGGGAACTAATAATCTTGCAATGGGAAATGGACAGCAAGAGGTAGGTGGGGCGTATAAGAAAAAGCCAACACAGCAGAAGATGGATGTGGTATCTTCAGGGAACAGTAAGGTTTGAGTAAAGCAAGAACCCTGTGAGAACATAAAGTTATAATGGAATTTGCTGATTATGGTGCAGCTGTTTCAAAAGACACAGTGGAAGGTTTGGAAAGTGGAAAAGAAGTGAAGAGCTGGGTCAGTTGCCAGGTAGTACATTGCATTCAGAGGTAATGTGCTGTAGAAGACAGGTAGGGGAGAGAATGCTTTGGAATTTCCAGATGAAAGCAGGTGGATTTAGTGTCAGTTCCCTAAGGAGAATGGCCTGGTGGCCAGAGGGCATGGCTCACCCTCAGTGGGGTGAAATCTCCCAAGAGCTGCAGTTTGAGGTCACGCTGACCACCCAGTGACTTACAGTACCTTCTGAGATTGCCTTCAAACTAATGATTCATTTGTTTTGGAACATGGGGAAACTGAGGTTCAACAAGAGTCAGTGACTTGTCTGAGGATAGAAACCTGTTTTTAGGGTCTGGCCCCGTGGCCTAGTGGTTAAGTTCGACATACTCAACTTCGGCAGCCCCTTCGGTTCCCAGGCGCAGACATACACCACTCGTCAGTGGCCATGCTATGGCGGCAACCCACATACATATAGAGGAAGACTGGCAACAGATGTTAGCTCAGCAGCAATCTTCCTTGAGCAAAAGAGCAAGATTGGCAACAGATTGTTAGCTCAATGCCAATCTTCCTCACACACACACACAAAAAGGCTGATGTGATGTAGAATGAGTAAGAGGCTGTCAATTAAGCTGAGGTTTTATTGACAAGGTGAGGATTTTATATTTCACTTTTTAATAAACTTCCAATATATTGCTTTTCACATCCAGTGCTTTCTGAAGCCTTAACATTTTGGGAACTTAAAGAGATTCATAGCTAGCTTCAGTGGTCCCTTTGAATCCATAGAGTATAGCTCTTTTTCTAAAGTTTAACTATTAGAGATAGAGGAAATGCCATTCACTGACAGAACACTCAGAGTAAAACCCTATGAGATGATTCTGTTTACCTGAACATTTTTAGAAAGCTGAGTTTTCTTCTACTTCTAAGTGGCAGTATAATAATAGAATTTCCTATTGCTTTGATCTTCCTCCATTTACCCATGATTGATGATATCCCTACAGGTGGAAAAGTAATTCAGAATGCACACCTATTATGTAACTGGAATCTATTGAAATGGCTTCCTAGCTATCTATGGAAATGTTGAGGGAAGTATTATTTCAGAAAATAACCTAAGATTCTTTCGTATGTTTTTTATATTTATCAAGGACTTACCATAATCCTTCTAAAATAATTTTCTTTTCTTTCTTTTTTTTTTTCAGTGATGAAGCTTGGTCCTGAGTTACCATCTGTTGCCAATCTTCCTCTTTTTCTTTTTTCTCCTCAAAGCCCCAATACATAGTTGTATATCCTAGTTGTAGGTCATTCTAGTTCTTCTACGTGGGACGCCACCACAGCATGGCTTGGTGAGCAGTGTGTAGGTCTGTGCCCAGGATCCAAACCGGTGAACCCTGGGCTGCTGAAGCAGAGCACGTGAACTTAACCACTTGCCATGGGACCAGCCCCTCATTTTCTAAATAATCTGTTTCTAAAAACTTTAATTTACTACTACAAATTGTGCTTTTACTAGTGACTGTTATCCAGACAATTCTGAAATCTGAGTACTTCTTAGATTGAAATATTCTGGATTTTACAGCTGTGAGAAATGGAACTTTTACTTACTGTAGTTTAGTGCAGTTGACTAAATAGAGCCTAATTTTTTTAATTCACAGTATCCTTTCAGATCCCTAGTTTAAAATGGCATATGCATAAATTTGTATAAGGTAATGAGGAGTCTATTAGAATGATTTGAATGATTCTGGTGATGAGATTATATCACAGAAAACACCTATCAAAAACTTATATATATATTTTATATAAGCTGGTGATCTGTCAGTTAGCTGCAGGTGTCTGATAGTGATGTAAATATTACACATTTACTCCTTTTAAAAACTTTTCTTTATCCTGTAGCATAGTTTTGGCCCAGAGGAGACTCGGCTCCCTTGAAAGTAGAACTAAATTCCTGAAGACAATTTATTCTTCAAAAATCCTGGGACTCTCTACTTCTGCTGTAGGTATTGCTTAATCACTTACATATTGTACATATTCTGCTATGTCAAAAAAAGATGGAATTTTTCAAATACTTTATAAGTATTTTGTGGGAGTGAATATTTCTGTTATGTAAACTGAGGTCGTCTCTTTCATTGGCTAGAACTGACATTCACTGAGCAACTGCTTGCCTGTCTGTATCAGGACTAGTGCTGGGCATTGTGTATTCATTATCTTATCTTATCTTTACAAAACTTTTCAAGTTAGGAATTGTTATCTTTCTGTTTCACAAATGAGAGAGTGGAAGCTTAGATAGGTTTAGTAACTTGCTCAAGGTCACACAGCTTGTAAGTGGCATAACCAGAATACTACACTCACCTCTGTCTAGTTTGAGCGGTCTAAAGAGCTGGCTCTGTATACTCAAGAAAGGATAGTATAGTGACTATAAGTGCAGGCCCCGTGACTTCCAGTTTATAGGAAATATGGCAGATTGAGGACCAGGTTATGTGACATGGAAAAGCAAACAAATCTAGAATGTGGTTCATAACCACAGGGTGGGTAACTGACCCGTTTTCTTCAACAAGTGGCATGGGGGAAAAGTGGGATGGAGTGTTTCAGAGGGACTGCTCTGGGACGAAAAGAGGCTTAAGAACCACAACCAGTAACATGATGTGTGGACCTTGTTGAGGAACTTGGTCCAATCAAAGTGTAAAAAGACATTTTTAAAGACAACTGGAGAAATATGAATGTGGATTGAGTATTAGATGATACCAAGGAATTATTATTAATTGATATGATAATGACATTGAAGTTGTATAAGAAAATGTCAATATTTTTTAGATATGTATACCAAGTATATTGCTGTAAAATGACTTAAGCTCTCAGATTTGCTTTAGAACTAGTCATCAATAAAAAACAAAAAGAAAAAGGAGAGAGATTAAGCAAAAGAGGCAAAATCCTGATAATTTGAATCTAGGTAACATGTATATGAGTGTTTTGTATTATGTTGAATCATATGAACTTGTTATTTTTGTAGGTCAAAAATGGGTGAATGTTGCCAGTTTGAAATTGTTCAACCTAATTGTAATCTCTCAACTTTTATATAGGTTTGAAATTTTTATAAAAACCATCATCAACTTCTTCCTGTACACATAAACACTATAACTTCTACCTTGTAAACGCCTTGAATTCTGTCTCCTCTTGATACCACCCTGACTACCTTGGTCCAGGTCCTCCTCCATGCAGAGAAGTTGGTTGAAGCCAGGCAGTGGGTGCAGTCACGTAGGGTTGTCACATGAAGCCACAGTACAAAATTGAGGCTGCTTGTGTGCAGAACCATTAGCTGCAGAGCTCTGTTAGAATGTACATGCCCAGGACCCATCATAAGAGAATCTGATTCATCTGGAGTGTATTGCAGGTGATTCTGGATGTACATCCCGGGTAAGAACCACTGACAGTTCATTATTCAAATCTGCAGATTGTCTGAGACAGAATTCAACGCTGTCCATCTTTGACAACCACGTCAGAAAAGTCCCTACTTTCCTATTTATCAGAGTCTTTGCAGTTAAATAGTCACGCAGGTAAATAAGTATTCTTCCTGCTGTTGGGCAAATGATAAAAGCAGATGATCAGTGTATCAAGAGTAGTAGTGATAAGTTTAAATCAAGAAAGGCTTACTAGAACCAGCCAGACTATTTACTGTAAACCTGTTTTTTCACTGGAAAATTCTTCTCATCCATACCATCATTAAAATTGAAAACTTACTCTACAAGTTACCTCTGAGGAAGGGAACATAATGGGGGATGGCTGCACTTTATCTGGATCATTTGCTTTTCTTACCAAAAAAGTTTCATTTTTATTGCTTCTGTAATTTTAAATAAATAATATTTTAAATGTTAAGAAAACAATTACTGCTATAAAGCAAGAAAAGAATAAGAGGCACCCAGGATGAAAATCACTATCTATCCCCTATTTTAGCACTTAGATCTTAAAGGTATAGAAACTGGGAGATAAAATTTATATAATCCTCTGGTGCCACAAAGCCAGAGAACAAATTAATAGATAGATGAGAGAGAGACAGGAAGAGAAAGATAGAAGGAAGGAAGGGAAGAAGAAGCATGGAAAGAAGGAAGGAGTCATTGTTTTCGAGAGATCTCATGGAGCGCCAACTCCCACTATCTGATAGTGTCACCCTTTTTTGGTCTAGTCTTCATTTAAGGTTTAGTCATTCAGATTGTAATTCTTAGCCCTTTGGTTTTCTCCTCTTCTTCCATTAATAGCTTCCTGTCTGCTTATCCTTAAAATAGCCTTCCTAAATAGGAATTCTCAGGGAAACTATTATGTGTGATACTATAATGGTTGGTACATGTAACACATTTACATAGAACACCAAGAGTAAAAGTGATGCGGGCTTGGCAAGCCGAGGAGTCCAAAGAAAGATTTCTTGGACTCTCAAGGTCTGATGGTAGTGCTCTTTTTTTCTTTTTCTTTTTTTTTTTTTTAAAGATTTTATTTTTTTCCTTTTTCTCCCCAAAGCCCCCTCCTACATAGTTGTATATTCTTCGTTGTGGGTCCTTCTAGTTGTGGCATGTGGGACGCTGCCTCAGCGTGGTTTGATGAGCAGTGCCACGTCTGCGCCCAAGATTCGAACCAACAAAACACTGGGCCACCTGCAGCTGAGTGCACGAACTTAACCACTCAGCCACGGGGCCAGCCCCAGTGCTCTTTTTTTCAGAGAATAGCATGAAGTAGCATGGGACAGGACCCATGGGCAGTGAAGAGCTGCAATGGGTTGAGGTAGGGCTAAATTTATAAGGCATAGGTATGTGAGTTATCTCTTTACAAGATAAAGGAAAGATTATGTTTTAAAAAAAAAGTCATTAAAATGGTAATCGCGCATGTGGGGTCTGATTATTGGGTGGGCCTATAACTTTGGATAAGAATCAGATCGGATCAGGTCAGGACATCCTATGCTGGCTGGAGGATGATATAGTTTGGTATGTAGGGCAGGATGCCTTGAGCTTTTCTCCCTGTGGCAGCCTTGATCCTCATCAAAACCTAAATATAAACTGTGGGTGCTGGGTGATAATGATGTGACAGTGTTGCTTCATCTATTTTAACAAATGGACTACTCTGAGGGGATGTTGGCTGGGGAGTCTGTGGGGGTGGCAGGGGGGTATTATGGGAATAATTCTCTGAACTTTATGCTCAATTTTGCCGTGAACCTAAAACTGTTCTAAAAAATTGCCTATTATTATTCTTTTTTTTAAAAAGGTCTTCTTGAATTTACATGCCCACGAGAAAAGCACAAAAACATTTATTATATAGCAATTAGGACAAAAACTTTCCCTTCTCTTTCAATCTGTCCTTCCCTAAAGAAATCACAGCCCTCTTTTTTGATGTGAAAAACGTTATCTGTTGTAGATTTAGTCCATACCCACATCCTCTTACCTGCTTTGGTGTTGTCAACACAAAGAATCCATAACCAACCTATAAATCAAAATTGGGGTGAGTTTATTATGAGCCAGAGTGAGAATTATAACCTGGGAAGGCCTGGAAGGCATTCTGGAGGAGGTTGGTTTTCAGTACAGTCTTATATCTTTGTAGAACGAAGAACATACATTAAACACACCCAGGATAAGTTTTCATCAAATTTTCAAAGAGATATTCAGTTGCAAATTAGCAGGTCAACATGACCATGATGTCAACAAAGGGACTAATCCAGGCGTTACCAATAGAGGGGAGGAAGGGAAGTATGCATTCTTTGCTTTAATGGTTAAGCTGATGTACAATGTATGTTTGATAGGCCATAAGCCAGGCTTTTTTAATTGAATCAGTTTTGAATGGGAATAGTTACCCCATATACCTCCATACGTGAAAATCTCTCGTCAGTGTAAAGTTACAGTCATTCATCCTTAATAGCAGGGATACCTTCTGAGAACTGTTAGGCGATTTTGTCTTTGTGCAAATATCAGAGTGTACTTACACAAACCTAGATGGTACAGCATAGTACACACCTAGGTTATATGATACTAATCTTACGGGACCCCTGTCATATATGGGGTCTGTTGTTGTCCAAAACATAATTATGCAGTGCACGATTGTCTTCAACCTTCTTGTATCTGAGAGAATCTTTTCCACTATGAATTTAACTCATTTAATCATCATAACAATTGCATGGAGTAGGCATTCATTTTCCTTTTTAATAAATGAGGAAACAGTTTCAGTAACCTGCCTACTATCACACAGGAGTTTTGTTATTTAAGTTTGAACTAAGATCTCCCTGGCTTGAAAGCTCTTTGCATTAAACAAGCTTGAATATTTTAATTTTAATTAGAATGTAGGCATCTATTACAGAGCACAGAGCTTGGCAGGTCTGTGAGGGACTGTGTACAGGCTCGCCCCAAATCTTGCTTTACACCTCTTCTTGGTTTAAGTGCCTGGCAGAAAGTACCTGCCTGTCAGTCTCCAACCCTAATTTCTATGAGCTATTCTGATTGGTTTGGGGGTGGGGGAAGGTGAATCGGATTACACAGTCTAGAAACCCAGAAGGGCTCACTCCTATGAATTTGAGTGGGGGCAGTAAACTCACTGCCTACCAGCTTACTCACATCAGATCTTTGCTTGAACTCAGTTTTCAAAGAGAATAAATCAGACTGTTTTTTTCTTGACCTGACTCTCTTTCCAGGTATTCCGGCTGCATATTTACCTGTTCTGTCAGAGCTCAAGGTTAGAGAAACCCTTGTTTCCAATGTTAAAAAACAAAATTCATCTGAGTAAATTTTAAAGATCTTGTTGGCTTTATTCAGTGATTCTGGAGTCGGGCAGCGTCCCATCTAGCAGGTAGAAAGGAGCTCTGAGGAACTGTGCAAAATGAAAGACTTTTATAGGCAGAAGGAAGTGGGAACAAAGAAGGTAGACGAGCAAAAAGTGGATTGATTATGGCAAGGTCACCTTTTTATTTTATTGATAGGAGAGAACAAAGCAGAAGTTATAACCAGTTCAAAGGAAAAGTTGAAAAGC